GGGTAGGGGAGGCATTTTTCAGGCCTGGGTTCTGAAGACCAGGGCTGTGGTGGGCTGCAGCTGCCCATCCAGCCTGTGTGTCGTGCTGTTTGTGTGCTGCTGCCCTCTGCTTCCTCCTCGCTGTCCTCTGTCATCCTCTCTGCTGGTGAGGTGGGATTTCTCACCCTTCCCGCTCCTTCTGCTCTGAGCTCTGCCCACATTCCAACCTGTGTGTCTTCCCTGTGTATCCTGGAGCTAGGGAAGGTAGGGCTGCTTTCATTCATGTCTCAGAGCAGTGAGGGCTCCGAGCTTCTGGTGTAGGAGGCGTTCAGTCTCCTCCAGGAGAAGGTACAGGACACAGATGCTTTTCTCTGATTCGGCCATGCAGCTGGCTGGGTGACACAGATGTGATGCATGTCTGAGTCGTGTGGTGTGAGCTCAATGTGCCGCCTTGGCCCTCGTGACACGGATATAGCCTGACTTGTGGTGTGGAGAGATGGACGCCTTTGCTAACATCAGCTCCTGCGTGTGGCTTGAGTGCTGAGCTCAGTGGCATCACCTTGTCTACACCGCATTGGAAGCTCCTGGCTGGTGTTTCATGAGCCATCCTGTCCCCGGGTTGCCCCACTGCCCAGACAGGACCTGGCACTCATGGGCACTCACTAAATAATCCCGGGGCGAGCAGATCCATGCCAGCTTCCTGCCCTGTGCTTGCCTGTGGCCACTGGTCAGTGATGTTTTTCTGAGAATGCCTCTGGCATTAGGGTTTGACTCTGCTGTCGTGTGAGCCAACGGCAGGATGCTGCCAGCAACACCTTATTCAGAGGTAGCGTAGCAGCAAGGTCTAAACTGCAGCCAGCGAGAGCTGGGTTAGACCCTGAGGAGGAGCTGAAGGCCTGGGTGTAGTCAGCACTGAGCTGAACGCAGTGTGGTGATTCGAACCAGAGCTTGCACACGATTGAGCTCAGCCTGCTGTGGTGGCTGCGTCAGCACCTGCTGCTCCATTTGTGGGTTGTTTTTCCTTAAGCAAGCAGTTCCTTTTTTGGAAGTTTATCTGAGCAGATAAATCCTCAGGGTGTCAGAGTCTATAGCAGGGACACTAATAACTATGGGTTCATAGCACAGGTCCCCTTACAGGCTGGGAGGGGCCACAAGACACTTGGGCGGGAGAGCCGGAGCGGCCAGAAGATGGTGCTGATTCTGGCCCCCTGAACGGACTAGAGCTGCACGACTGCAGTGAGGTGCTCGGTCTTTGTCGTGAAGAAAAACATGCTGCAGTTTCAGAAGGCTGCACAGAGGTGTCAGGGTGGGGACACGCTCCTTCCTTGTCCCTTCCGAGGCTGCCTGGCTCACACTCCTCTGCCCGCCTGCTTCCTAGTCAGCATGGTGTATGGGGAGTCTGGTGGAGGGAAGGAAGCCGGGGAGCCCCACACTGTGTGCATTCATCCCCTGAATTGGAGGCCAGGAATGCCACTGTTTTCCCTGTTCTGGATGTTGGCTTTAATCAGACGTGGCCTCCGATGTGCGGATCTGCGTACAGTTAGACCGCTGGGCAGCAGAGATGCTCTTGCAGGCCTCCAGTGCACAAATGGGTGTGCTGGGCAGCACAGTGCAGCTCGATATGTTTACCTGGAGAAGACGACGCTGGTCCAGAAGCCCAAGCAGGCTGGACAGTGGGCAAGCCCCCAGCCGTGGTGGAGCCGCCGTCCTGGGTGCAGCTCTGCCCCTGACCAGGCTCGTGGGAATAGGATGCTGGGCCAGCCCAGGTTCCAGCCTGACGGGCTGGCCAGTGGGCAGCTCAGTGCCCGGCTCAGCGCTGCCCGCAGGCTTCTCAGCCCGCCCCTCCTAGCAGATCGCTGGACTCCTGGTCAGCATGTGTGGGCTGCATGGGGTGCTGACCGCACACACTGCAAGAGAGGCGCCGTGTGCGTGCCGAACGCGTGGCACTCTGGTGGCTCCGCTCGTGAGGTGAGGGCTCCCGTGCCGTCTTCTCCCAGCTGTCTCAGGTGTCTCCTGTGATGAGAGTGGACTGTGTTTGGAGGTTTGAAGGCTTACTTTCAATCAGCAGATGCTGGTGTGAAGCAATAATGCAAAATAAGCTGGTTTTCATTCTCCATGTGAGATTCTCTGAATGAAAACCCTCTGTGGGTCTCTTGGCTCACACAACACTGAAAAGAGACCCCAGGACCTCAGTGCCCCCTGGAGAGTCCAGTTAAACACCACCCCCAAAGCCCGAAGCCAGGGTTTGTGAGGCGGTCAGTAGGCACTGGCAGGGCTCGGCAGGTCTGATAGTCCGTCAGCTTTTATTTGCTCTGGTTTAAAATTCCATTTGCAAAGGTGAAAGCAGCCACGCTGCTGTGTCCTGCCTGTTCTCTGAAGGGCCTGCTGTGTCAGCTGTGTGGCCACTCCCGGGCTGGGCATGTCATTTAACAAGAGCTTTCATTGAAAACGCTGGGCATGCTGACCCCTTGCATTTCCAGGCAGGTGCCCCCTGGCTGTCGTTGGTAAAATGCAAAACCTTTCTGGTGATCTTTGAGCTGTGAGCGCTGTTCTGCAGCTTGGTCCATCTAGGAAAAAGGAGCCAACTTCTGCGAGGACCCCTTCCATGCAGGGTGCTTGAACAGCACTGCTTTCCTGGCCGTTCGGGGCTGGGGCCTGCCTAAGGCTCAGTCCTGTGTGCCTCCTGCCCCTGCACACCACCCGTCCTGGGCGAGTGTCCTGTCACAGCGTCGGTGACTGCCAACACCAAGTGACCTGTGCTGCCTCCAGAGGCCCGGGGAGCCCAGTTCCTTTCCTCCCCAGCTTCTAGAGGCACCTGCACCCCCAGCCCAGCCCCAGTCAGCCTGGCTGTCCCACCCACGGTCACCTCCCCTCCCTGCTGTGATGTGACCCTCTCTCAGGACCCTGTGGATGGCTCTGGGCCCAGTTCTCACCTCAGGGTCTTTAACCTATCCGGGATGCCCTCATGTCCACACACCTTTGCCTGGCTCAAGTGCAGCATGCTGTGAAAAGGCAGCCTTGCCTGCTGGACACCCCCTTAATTACTGGCTGCTTTCCCTGCTGGCATGGTCTCTCCTGCCCTGCTCTGGTGGGCACTTCCCGGCCACCATCTGGCCTGAGGCCCCAGGTGTCGCTTGCCATGACCACAGCCCCTCTCTGTCCCCACCTGGGCCTGTGCTCCCCCTCAGCCCTCTATCCAGACGTGTTCATCCCAGGCTGAGAGGTGCCTCCCTGTCCCCACCTGGGCCTGTGCTCCCCGCCAGCCCTCTATCCAGACCTGTTCATCCCAGTCTCAGAGGCGTCTCCACGGCATCTTCTCTGCAGTTGCTATGTGCTCCTCTCAGTTCTGACATTCCACCTCCGTTGGTCTCAGCTGCCTCTTAGTCCTCTGTACGCCAGACCCAAGCCACCCTTCTGGAAGGACCACTCCTGCCTGTCCCCTGGGGCCATGGCGGGTGTCCATCACCCCCCCCCCCATGGCACAGGGCACACTGCTGTGCCAGCACCTTTGTCAGGATGCAGGCGGCACCCCAGGGCCCTTCCCAACCCAAGTGCCCACGTCTGACGCCTGCTTGCACTCCGTTCCCTGCTCAGTCCCAGGTGTGCCGCTGCCCGCTTCCCGGTCTCAGCCCAAGATTGTCGACTCCCGGGAAGCTGGGCTTTTCCCTTTTCGTGTCCCAGGGTAGGCATGGCACTCAGATAAAACCGTCATTCACGCCATAACCTGGCCCAAAGCCAGAACCAGCCCACACTGCCTGCCACTCCCAGCCCAGCCCAGCCCAGCGGGGCTCCTGCGCTTCCAGGCTGGGCTACAGCTTTCCCAGACTGTGGCTGGGTGGCGAGTCTTCCCAGGAGAGGCAAGGTGGACACGGGCCGGTGAGGCCGTAGAGCTTAGGCTACCATTGTCTCTGAGGTCATTGGCCTGAGGATCGCCTGGGCGCTGCTGGCATTCACATGGCGTAGGTGGGGCCTGCGTGTCGTCTGCGCTGCTGGCCCTGTGCAGTCTTGCAAGGCCACCTGCGGCTGTGCCCACTGCTGCCGCCTTCTGCGTTGAAGGAGGAGGTTGCATCCTTAAAACATGGTTTTAGCGCTTATTCTTACAGAGGGCAGGGTTGGGAATCCTTGGGGGTGTGTGTATGTGTGCGTACATGTGCGTGTGTCTATCGGGCACAGGTGTACTGTGTATTCATATTGATTGGAAGTATGAATGGACTCAGTTTCTGTTCCTGCTTGCTAGAACTTGATAAAAGATCCAGGGCTGAGCTGGCATGCTGCTGCAGTCTGTTAGACCAGCACTCAGGAGGCGGAGGTAGGAGGATCACAAGTTCAAGCCCAGCCTAGGTGATTTAGTGATGTATTGAGAACCTGTCTGGAAATTTAAAAAAAACACAAAAGGTCTGGGATGTAGCTCACTGTGTGGGGCCTGGGCCCCACCCTTGCTCCCCCTTCGTTGCTGGTAGCTGTGGTAGCCCAGTGGGCCCGGAGCGGGCGCCTGCTGACAGGGCTGCGCGTGTGGAGAGCCTCCTCTCACCACCCGGCCCCACACTCTGCGTGGTGCCTGGCCTGCCCCTGGGGTCTGCATCCCTGCGCAGAGCCTGGCAGGGCCGGGGCTGGCAGGGAGAGGGCCGGGGAGCTGGTCCTCACGGCCTCGCTCTGGCAGCTCCTCCCGGGGTTCGGCAGCAGCTGTTACCTGCATGTAGTGACTTACATTCAAATGAATTTGAGTGCTATTGGCGTTTCCTGAGTTCCTGAGTTCACTTTTCAGTCATGACAGTCGAAGTGTGAGGGTGCGGCGTGCCTGCACAGGTCCCCACCTCCCCGGCCCCTCCTGCCACGCCCCTGCCATCAGGTGCAGGCGGCTGTGTTGCCCTGTGGCTGTCCCCCGCCATCCCTGTGTCCAGGCTGAGGACCCGCACAGAGCAGGTGCTCACCAGGCCGCCGAGCACCGAAGGGATAGCCACGCCTCTGGTGGCAGTGGCACATGTGCCGTCTCTAATCATGGGTGCTGCCTTTCCCTGCAGCTGCCAGGACGCAGGTTCGCCCCTGGGTACAACGCCGACGTGGGCGACAAGTGGATCTGGCTGAAGTGAATGTTCCCGCCACGTGAGCTGCATCATGGCACCAATGATGTGTCTGCTCTGTGGACGCTCTGCGGGGAGTGGATGACCTGAAAGTCACACGGCAGAAGAGGTGGCCCGGCAGAGGCAGTCTCCCCTGTCGTGAGTGAAGTGGCGGGAAACGGCTGCCCATGAAGAGGCTTGGAGCCTCTGGCTTTATTGGAAGCACTGTCATTCCTGAGGAGCAGATGCTGGGCTGGTGGAGGCGAGCCCTCTCGAAGCCGCTTATCTCACAGCCCTGGGTCCTGCAGCTCTCGTACATGTTCTTCAGCTCCCGCCATACAGCCATTGAATGGAAATGCTGCCCCCACCTCTGCACACGCACACGCCAGGCACACACGCACACCTGTGTTCGCCCACACTCCCCGCTGTCTATTCATGTGGTTCGGTTTGATGCAAGCGTATCATATTAAAGAGATTTTCTCAAGGTTTTTTCCAGTTGTAGCAGTCTCTTAGAACAAAGAGAAAAAGTGGAGAAGTGCAGAAGAGGAAAGTGGCCATAGATTATAGAACACTGTGATGTAAAAGAAATTTCAGCCCCAGTTCACTGCGGCCCATCCCAGGGGGTCTCTTGACCCCGACCCTTGCAGGGAGACGTGGGCTTAGAGGGAAAAGCACCGCGGCCTGGTCTTGTCACCCTGTGAAGTTGCAGTGCGCGGGGAGCAGTGCATCTCTCTCAGACTGAGGAAACAGAAGCAACTTTCTTGCAAGATAGCTGAAGTTCAGCCCCACTGTGTCCAGGCGCTCAGCTGCAAGTGGGGGACCCTATGAAGCTGGGTTCTCCTGCAGTCTTGCTGTCCAGGCAGCAGCTGTTACCTACGTGTGGTGATTTACACTCTAATTGAAATGTAGTGCAGCTTAAAATTCAGCTTCTTAGTTGTCCTGGTCGCGGTCCCAGTATCCAGTGGCTGTGTGGCCCTGGTGTCAGTGTTGTGTGGTGCAGAAGCGAACATCCGCATCTTGCGGGAGGCTGCGGGAGGCCTCACTGCTGCGGAGTGCACTGAAGAGGGGTGCACCCTCGGCCCCGTGCACCCTCCCTGCAGCCCGCTCCCCTCCTCCCTTACGCACTGAAAGTAAAGTGTCCAGCTGTACGCGGGGGCTGCTTTAGTCCTGAATCGGAAGTGCAGCTCGGCACCAAGCCACTGCAGCAGTGTCCTTGGGTCTGATCGCCTCAGACCCAGTAGTGAGGGAGACAGGGCGTCTTTCATGCCGGTGATGCTCCTGGTCCTGCTCTGAGGAGCCGGCTGCTCGCTGAGGCCCGGGGTACACAGGCGGTGCTCAGCGGAGGGCCTGTTACCAGAGAACCTTGAGCTTCTCAGAGGTCACACAGGGCCCCTTGCTCTAGCCAGGTAGAGCAGGACTCGCCCCCGTGGGCACCCCGATTGCCCCCACCCCCGGCTGGTGCTGACTGCTGTCCCTGGTGTGGCCCCAGCGCGGTGGCACGGCCCCCCGGGCCAGAAGAGGCTCCAGGCAGAGCAGTGGGAGTGGGGGCAGCACCCAGGACGCCCAGTTGCGTTGTGTCTCAGGTAACTTAGGTGTCGGGGCCTGCAGTACAGCAGCATTGAGGAAAGCTCTCGTGTTGGTCCCTGTCTTCAGCACCCCATTGGCCCCTAAGCAGGTTGGACTCCGCACCCTGTCCACCTGGAAGGAGTTTGCAGATTGGCCGCTCTTAGCAGAACGTGCCAGAGCCAAGATGCACGCAGACCTCTGTGTTTCGCTGAGAAGTCATGGTTGCTCTTGCTGGACCGGCCTGGGGGTGGGCGCAGTGCTGCAGTTACTGCCGTGCGGTGGCTTTCGGAGAAGCATCTGGGCAGCAGCCGCGGGCCGCTCAGACTGGGTGAATGGAAGCACGGTGCGCCTGGATAGTGGTGGGTTTCCACCTGGATGTAAGTAGGGCTGGGTACCTGCGGACCTTGCTCTAGGAAAGTCGTGAGCCAGAAAGCAGAGGAGGTGTGCATCACCAGCCACCGCCCAGCCCCGGGGTCATTTCCTACTGGGTGGGATTTTACCTGGGAAACTGTTTTGAAAGGATTTGAACAGTGGCCACAGCCCCCCCTGCATTTGTCGCCTTGCTGTGCTGGGGGCTGACCGCACCTGACGTCCCAGTGCCCCATCCCCTGCAGAAGGGCAGCGGGAGGCCTTCCCTGGCAGGTCCGCCCCCGCGGAAGGAGCGAGCCCGTGGGATTTGAACAGGAAGCCAGTGAAGCACAGCCAAATGCTACCTTTAAACATGGATTTGCTCTTCTCTATACATTCTTAACAGTTTAGGGTTTCTTAAAGTTTATTTTGGTAAGAATAAATTTTTCACAAGTGAACGCTTTTTAAATTACAATCCCAAGGCTCAGGTTAGAACCGGTGACGTGGTGGGAAGCACAGCTGAGGGTAGTACTTTTGCAGAGTGGTCATTTTTCCCCGAGCTGTGCCAGGCGATCGTGTGAGCTTTTGAAAGGCGCTTTCCTCTGTCCTGCCCCTGCGGTGATGAGCTCACGCCACAGTGTACCCTCAGGCTCTGTGACCCAACACGGTTGCCAGCGTGGGGTGGAATTAGGACACAGGTGGATACATTGCAGCCGGGGGGACGCCGGCCACCCTGCAGGGTGATGGTGACAAGGACCGGGCCTGTTCTGAGCACACGGGCCGGGGCGGGCCCGGAAGACGCGGCACCAGAAGGGGTTCTGGAAGTTGTGCACCCTGTTCGTCTGCATGGCCTGACATGTGCACCACCCCAAAGCCTGGGCCCTCTGCTGTTGCCCCTTTGCCCATCCCTTTCCTGGGCACTGCTCCCCGTCCTCCATCCCGCCCTCCGCTGTAGCACTTGCTTCCTGCAGCACTGGACACAGCCTCCTGCAGCCTCCATGCAGGGTTCTTTGACCCCAGCCCTCCCACCTATAGGCCCTCAGATTGGAGCCCTGGTGGCACCCGACTGCAGTGTCCACAGCTGGGGCCATGTTGCTGTCCAAACCCGGGTGCACCGACCACCTGGCCCTGAGCTGGCACTGTGGCTCTCCCCTCCCTAGGGCCCTCCCCCACCACCCGCTCCCCTCCTGGGCTGTACCGTTGTCACAGGGCCCTCCCCTGCCGGCTGCATAGCCAGGGCTGGGGCCTAGAGACAGTGTCTTAATGGGTGCCTGCCCGGTGCGGTGCTCAGCCCTCACCTTGGTGTGCCCCACCCACCTAGTGTCTGGGGTTCTCAAGGAACCAACTAGAGGCCAGGCTGGGGCTCCGGACCTGTCGGAGCTCCCAGCAGAGTCTGTGCAGCAGCTCTGACATCCCTGGGTGGCCCGCATCTTGCTGAGGATGCGGCCCAAGACCCAGAAGACACAACGACAGTGCTGGCCTGAGGACAGTGAGTTTTAGGCCCTGCGGCACACACCTCTGCCATCCAGGGGTATGAAATGCCTGCGCGGGTTGTGAGGCCTTGCGTTCTGGATATTTTGACGACCACTCCACCTGTTTCTGGCCCTTCATATACAAGGGGTAATGGATCCTGCCCCAGACCCCGAAAGTGTGAGGTTGCCTGTGTCCACCCTGTTCTGGGTGGGGTTTTGCTCATACATTATGTGCAGCATGGGGTTCTTTAATAGTGACAGAAATAACAAACTCATTCCTGTTGGAGTAAAAGCCAGTGCCCAGGCAAACACAGACCTCTTCTGAGGAGGAAAGACATCCCACTGTGAGGGATGCAGGTGCAGAAGGAGTGGCCACTGGCTGTAGTCAGCCAGGGCAAAGGCAACAGAGCAGGTTGGAGCGTGCTGCGTCGGTGCGGGGTCGGAGGGAGGCGGTGACCCTGTATCCTGGAGTCTCGGGACCCTGGCCACGGTGGTGGGAAGCCTCGCACAGGGAGGGTCCTGGAGGCCTCAGCTCCAGCCGCCTGCTCATGGTGAGTACAGAAGAGCCTTGTTTTTCCCTGGCCGGAGGTGACTGCGAAGACTGCAGAGCTCTTGGTTAACGTAAAACAGCTCTTCTCTTTCTGTGCCAGGCAATGTGTCAGGGCGGCGCAGTCTCACCACTGGGTGAGAGTAAAGGGCTGGATGTATGCACTGCCCCGCCCGCTTTGAGGCAAGCCTCTCCCAAATGCGGGGACAGCAGTGCTTTGGGACTTGGGCTCCTGGGGGCAGCAGGGGCTTGCTGGCGCAGGGCTGACCCAGGCGCAGATTCTGTACTAGCCTCCGGTGCTTGATGCCAGAGACCGCCCGGCCTGGGATGTCAGGGCACCTTCCCTCCGTGCTGAGGCCCTGCGTGTGAGTGTGCGGGGCCTAGATGGCTCGGGTAGCTAAGGGTCCTGCCACTAAGAGGCAGAGGCCCTGCTCTAAGCCTGGTGTTTGCAGCACCATTCCTCATTCATACCTTGGTGGGCACACCCACTTGCTGAGCCCTGGGCTGCAGGGATGAACACAGCGCAGAGACCAGGAAGGGGTAACCTCATACACAAGGCTACCCCACCCGGCCCACCCAGCACTCTACACTGGCCTCCTTCCCTCCTCCCAACATCCCTGAGGCCGCAGCCATCACCTCTGTCTTCCTGAAGGCAGGAGCTGGAGTCCGGCTGCTCTGACGTGTGCCTGGACCTTGCGTGGCTGGGCTGGGCCTTCCAGCACTGTCCAGGCATGCCCAGCAGTCAGCGCATGTTGAGAGACTGATGTCATGGAGGCAGATGTGTAGGAGTCCTCCCTCGGTCTGGGGCTCCGAGGAGTCCCAAGGCCATCTGAAGACATAGTGGGGAGACCCAGGTCTGGCATTCGGAGCCAGATATGCAGGCCCCTCCCCACCTGGCAGGAGCCTCAAGTCAGAGGGAGCCAGGTGGTTGGCCCTCGCTGGGGGCCCTGGCCAGGTGTGCTGACCGCAAGGCCTGGCCCCGTCTGCCGGGGGCTCCTGCGGCGGCTGCTGGGCACAGAAGTGGTCTCTGGCCGCACCACAGAACCAGCCCCTCCGAAAGAACTGCATTCCAGTGGGCAGGCTGACGTATCAGAAGATGGCTGTCCTCCTAGGAGATTGCAGGTTTGAGCTCAGACTGGACAACTAGTGACTTAGTGACACTTGGTCTCAAAAGAGGTGGGGCAGAAGCTGTAGCTCAGGGCCAGGCTTTGGGTTCAAGCCCCAGTCCTACAAAAAAGAGTCCTGGAGAAGAAATCAGCTGGGGACAGCCTAGCAGTTGCCCCACACTTACCTCCGCGCAGAGCGCCGCCGCATCCTTAAGGTCTCTGGCAGACGCTCGGGCCCGGGCTGCGTGTGCCCCCGTTGGCAGCCGCTCCCTGCGCAGGCTCCTTGCGAGCTGGTCTGGCGAGGGAGAAGGGCTCCCCGTGGGGCACCCTAACCTTCAGAAGCCCCAGGCATCCTGGGGACACACAGCTGGACAGGTGCTTGGGAGCACTTACAGAGGTCCGCGCCCAAGGGCTGCTGGCCTCAGGGGTCTGAGCAGGTGGGACAGCCCC